AAAAGGCCTGAAATACCTATAGGCTATTTGAGGCCAAATATGCAGATACACACTCTCTCTTACCCACACATGCACACACTACACATGCACGCAAATAGCTCTATAGGCAGGACTTGGATTTTGTAGGATCCAAGGCAGAGAAGCTGACTCTTGTCACAGGGTTTGGGAATCAAGGACTCTGGGGTGCTAAAACCAGCTTTAAATTACAGGTCTCCTTTGCTTTGGGCAAGCCACTTGAACATTATCCCTCCAGGATTTACACACCGACTTTATGGGCATGCTGCTTAAACGCCTGCAAAGTGCTTTGAAATGGTTTCTAAATCCTGCAGTGATATGCACAGAAGAAGTGCACAGAGTGATTTAAGATAACAGTTGCTGACCGTTATTACTGTGTAACTACAACCTATTTTTATACGCTCTATACTTAGTTTCTATCAACAGATGGCAAACATTCAGTATTTGAATGTTTTAATGAGCTTTACGACCCTTTTGTAATTTCATAAGCAAGCATAAATAACACTTACATGAAGAAGAGTCTCTCCTGAATGGGTTTTCTCTTCCTGTTTGGGAAAAAGAAAGAGAGAAAAAGGAGAAATGTATTTTAAAGGAAAAAAAATAATGGTTCCAGCAAGGTAAATTAGACAAGTTCCAGTGTTACCATGCACAGTGTTTTCTGAATTTCACCAGTATGAACTCTCACTTGAAGAACATCAAGAGTGCAGCACCAGTGTCAGAACAAGAGACCATTTCCCACTTGCTCCATCCCATGCAAAACTTCACAGGAAATTTGACTACATCCATCTCAAGAGCAAGGAAATTATACCCCAGCAGTGAATTAAAATGGAAATGCCCTGTGATTCATTCTTTGCTTTGGGCAACCTGGTCTAATGGAAGGCATCCCTGCTCATGGCAGGGGGTTGGAACTGGATGAGCTTTAAGGTCCCTTTCAACCCAAACCATTTGATGATTCTATGATCTGAAGCAAAAAAAAAAGGATGAAATTTTAACTACATTCCAGTTCACTGATAACCTCATGGGTTGATACATGGGTTGCTCTCCAACCTGTGGACAGCCTACCAACACCAACACCCTACGGCAGGGTGGTCCAGCTGTGTTTTGGCACAGTGTGACTGTATTTCCACAGCAGTGCTGAAGCACTGACCGAATTCAAACCCAGGTCAGGGATGTGAAGGTGCTCTTCGAGGCTGTGACCATTCTGGGCAACAGAACCACAACAGGAAAGCCAGTAACTGCTGAAGTGCATGAGTCTTCCTATCAGCCCATAGGTTTTAACAGCCACTTGTCCTGCTGCCTCCCACCCAATGCTCCCTGGCAGGACGTGGATTAGATTCATGCTCCCCTTCCACTAACCAAGCTGGTAGGTTTGGTGAATACTCTTGGGGCAGGGTTTAGGGTCAGCACCAAGTGGCTTTTTGCTGGTGTTATCATAGAATAACAGACTGGTTTGGATCAGAAGGGACCTTAAAGCTCATCCAGTTCCAACCCCTTGCCATGGGCAGGGACACCTTTCACTAGAGCCGTTTGCTCCAAGCTCCATCCAACCTGGCCTTGAATACATTGATAAAAAAAGACAGAGACTGGTACAGATACAGAAGACTCTGCAGGACACCAGCCACAGCTTCAGAGTCAGACTGGCAGCACGGCAGCACTTCCAATAGCAGGTTTGGGAGAACAAAAGGACAATGAAGTGTGGCAGTTCCACTTAATTTCTACCACATTATCTTATACCAATATTAGCTACTCTGTAAGCAATTTAAAGGGTATTGCCTAGAGTTTACATGCCTTGGGATGATATTCAGCTAGCACAAATCAATTAAATCCATGGCATGACAACAGCTGAGGATTCAAGTAAATATGCATGTGTGGAAGAAATTCAGCAGTTATTAAATCACTGCATTTTCACCCTCATGCTTTGCTTCCCAAGGCCAAGGACCCAATCCCACAAGCAACACCCCCAGAGTGGCATGAGAATAAACTTCAGTTCCGTGTATGCAGCACTTAAAGAGGTCTGGACTCAGAATTACTTTAAAAAACATAACCCTGGTCCATTCTGGTCACGTAAATTGAGTCAGTGACGAGAATTTGAAGGCACTAATCCTGCTGGGTAATCTATTCAAAGCTGCACTGCTTAAATGATCTACAATTTATTAGTATGACCAATCACATAAGCATTACTTGCAAAAGGCTTTAACTACCATGGCTTTCCCATCCATTTTTATGCGTTGTAATATGGTTAACATTAAAAGAAACAAAGCAGCATAATCTTTTCAGAGTCATTTGCCAGCATGGTTAAAAGCCTGGGTAGGGCACTAGTGCAGGGACTCCCCTTACTGGTGGAACTGGCAACACTGCCGCTGAGGCAAAACTATGGGGCATTGGAAAACCTGGAAGGGGCAAAAGGAAAATAATAGAGGGGTTCTGCTAAGTCTGAGATGCAGTGATGGAAATCCTGGGAGCATCACTGCCTGGGAAACACAATATCAGCCTGCTGAAGGGCTTGTGCTGAGAGTCTCCTTGGAAAACACTCAGCCCACAGGACTTGGCTAGAAGCCACTAAGAGGTAGCTCAGTTTTGGTCAGGCAGAGTATTGATTTAAGGAAAACTCATTGAAGTATTTCCAATGATCTGCTGTAAGGTGAGATCCACACTGTGGCTTTACAATCCGGACTGTGCTCAAGCACCAGAGGAGGGTTCCTGAGCACTGTGCAGCAAGAGTGAACCGAGCTAAAGGGTCTTCCTATGCTCCCAGGGCGATGCTGCCACTCTTTTGATACAGCATTTCACACAGACTGAAGCTTCCTGCCACAGCCCCAGCATTTCCCCTCTGACACTTCAGAAACCTCCCGGCAGCCCAAAATCTACCAACAGAGAGGAATGTGCCAAGTTTTGCTCAGTGAAATAAAATAACAATTGACAGCATTTGAAGCATTCCAGATTCCTACTGGATTCTAGTACAAGATCCTTAAACGAACAAACAAAGAATCCTTCCCACCACCACACACATCACCCACCCCTCAGATTTTGACCTGGCACCCCCCAACCTGCCACCACCCTCTCAGTACCTCCCAGTATCACAGTGCCATCTGCAAGCTCCTGCTTTCCGCACAGTGTGGCAGGGAATAACCCTAACCCCGTATGGGAGGAGCAGCAGGTTAATAAATTACAGGGAGAAGTGGCCTTGGCTTTGCTGCCAGTCCACAGGCTGGGGTCAGGGTCCCAACCCATCCATGGGGCAGCACCAGGACCCCATAGGGAGGGCAAGGAGATGATCACCCTCCTCAAATCAACCCAAACCATGAGAAATGTGGGATGGAACAGAGGTGAAATGCAGGCAAATGAAGAGAAGAGAGAAAACCATAATATGCAAAGCAGAAAAGAAGCAGTTGAAGAGGAAACACAAAGATGCTATCTCTGAAAGTGCCAAAAATAAAAGTTTCCAGTGTCAGTTGAACCAGGGCAGCACAGACATCCTCCTGCCACACTCATGCTTCAGGCTCGGCTTACCCGTGGCCGGGGCAGTCGCACTACTGGCAACCCCACTGCTCCCATGTTTTCCTTTAAACCCCCCAACAACCTTCAGGGGACCCTCTGTAACACTCAAAGACAGGCAACACCGCCTCAGCTCGCCCCAATGCAGACCTGGAGGCAAACACCCGGCTGTCAAAACCCAACAGGGATCTCAGCAAAGACTCTGCCCTCTGAATTTCACAGGAGCAGGTTTTAACGGGCTGCTGCCCTCCAACATAAAGCCATAAAACCTGAACTGGCAGCAAGTGTCACCGAGCCCTGAATCACACCCCCGGTGCCATGCTCCCCTCCCTGTTTTGCTGGTGCAAACCTCACAACATTTCGACATATAAGCAGTAATAGAGGAAAAAAAAAAGCAGTTACCAAAATAGCCCCATGAACGTAACCGGCTCCTCTGGGCACATTTTCTTAATGCCTTTCCCAATACGGTTACAAAAATGGGAACTAACCAAAAAACTCCATCTTTACACCTCGGCACCAGCCGTGCTGCGAGGTTGTATTTCGCTGTGTTTATCTGGATCCTCTCCTCCTACTTTTTGCTCACCGGGGCTTTCCTTTAACCGTGGCTCTTGTTAAACAGCAGAAACCGGCTTTTACAACCCCTAAATACAAAGTTTTGCCACTCTGGGGCGAGCCCAGCTTGCCTTCTGGTTCTGAAATAACACACACACTGCGCCTATGTGAAATAAATTCTCCCATGTTCTTATATGGAAGCCTTGCGAGTCCTCCCACAACCGCCGCCTGTTACAGTATCAGGCAGAGATGGGCACTCGTTATCTAAAAGCCAGTGGGTGAAATTTGGATCCAAATTACCCCAAGACGAACCCACAATGACCACCCCTTGCTGAGCTCGCTCCCCTGCTCCGTGCAGCCCCTGCGGGTTTTATTTCCAAGCTCCAATCGCAACTTTGATTTCAGCATGCCCCAAAAACCAGCAAAATCAAAGGAAAACGAAGGGAACAAAAAGGAACCAGAAGCGGTGTTACCCACCAGGTAGGCCCGTGAGCATCAGATGGAACATTGCCGGGACCAGCCTCTTCCCTTGAGGTTAGCGCAAGGCAGCCAGAGAAAATACAGCGCGGAGGGGTGGGAAGGCGAGAGGAGAAGGGTAAAATGAGCCGGGGAGAGGAGATGTGCTGGAGGGGCCGACAAAGTTAACGCAAAGCGGGGTGTGGAAATAAGCAACGGGGTGGAAAACCCCCTCGGGACAACGAGCCCGCCGGGGAGGGGGTGAAGGGGGAAGAATGGATAAATAAATACACGGAGGCAGAAGGGAAAGCGCGGCAGAGGCACCCCGAGCCGGCGCGGACAAAGGGGAGGACGCGCCGCCGCCGCTGCCACCCTCCAGCCCCAGCCCGGTTCGGTTCGGTTCAGCTCCGCCGGGCGCGGAGCCGCCGCTCTTTGTTCGCCGCGGATCGGATCCAAATGCGGATCCGCACCAGCCCCAGCCCCAGCCCCAGCCCCAGCCCGGGAGGCGCCGGTACCTGCGTCCGCCGGCCGCGGTTCCTGCGCGCCGCTAAGCCCCTGCGGCGCGTCCTGCGGAGCGGAGCGGTGCGGTGCGACTAGCAGCGTCGAGCAGGAGGAAACGGTAATTTATAAGCTCTTTCTTCCTGACCTCTCGTGTCTGTTGTCTAATGAGGGAGCTTTGAGCATCACCCATCCTGCTGAGTGGAAAAACACCGGCACGGCCTCTTCTTTGCTGGGGAGGGGGGAGCCTAAAGGAAGGGGTGTGGGGAAGGAGGGGCCATGCCGCAGACACGGCGGCGGAGCCCGGGCTGGCAGGCGGCCGTGGGGCGGCGGGGAGGGGCAGCGGCCGGGGAGGTGTGTGTGTGTGTGGGGGGGGAATCGACCAACGTCCCCCTGCGGGGAGCGGAGCCCGGCCTCGTCCCGCGGCTGCCGGCCGGGGTCCGGAGCGAGGGAAGGAGGGAAGGAAGGGGAGCGGGCTGCCCGCCGCGGCCAGCCGTGCTCTTTCGGTTTTACCCGTTTAAAACCAGGGTATTTTTGATCTCCACACAAAGAGCGCCCTTCCCGCACACAAAGCATCCCCCCGGGCTGGCACCGGCCCCGCGCTTTGCTCCTCCGCCGCCGCTTCTCCCCCTCCGGAGGGGCGGTGGGAGCTCGGGTTCCAGACCCGGAGTGGCTCCGCAGGGCTCCCCCGGCAGTTGGCCTCGGCAGCCGTCCCGCCTGGAGGAGGAAACCCATTGGGAGCGTGGCCTGGCAGGTGCTTGGGAGACCGGGATCTCCCTGCTCTGCTCTGCCTGCCTCCAGCCCTGCTCGTGGCTGAGAAGCAAGTACGGCCGGGGCCGCCCGCAAGGGAAACGAGCAGGGCAGCGTTTTGTCCTGCCTTGGGTTTCACCACACCGAAAGCCGGTGCTTTTCTCCTGCAGACGAACGTGTATCTGCCTCAAATACGTCTTTGCTCTCCTACCTGCATCTCCTCTAGCTCTGTTTATGGAAGGATACAGCAGCATGGACACTCTCTAGGCGTTTTCATATACGAAGATCTAGTGAGATGCTCTGCACTGCAAAATACCGTTTGGATCGTGGGGGCAGCGTAGCTGGGAAAAAGAGATTTTGGGCAGAAGTCCCTTGCACTGGGAACAGTGGACATGGACTGAAGAAGAGTGAATGCCCCCCACAGCCGTGCTTTTGCAGGCTTTCCTAGATACATCACAAACGACGGCAGCAGTCCCTGAGCAACATACCTTTGGAGCCCAGCATCTATTCATAGGCTGCTGATGGATTCAGTTCCATCACAGGAGTCTCCGGGGGGGCTCTAGAAGAGCCTGGTTTCTTTGGCTGGTTGAGGTCAAAGCTACACCCTTCAGAACCCTCCTCACTGGCAATGCCTGGTGCCAAACAGTGCACTCAGGGCTTTTCAAGTATCTGAGCTGATTTGCCAAGTGAATAGGTTTTTCACTGATAAATAGGTCCAGGTATAGGATATGTGCAGCTAATCAATGACTTATCTCTAGTAAACTAACATGATGTAGTGCATGCTGCCACCTACGTCTCCTGATTCAGGTTTCTGTACTGCACCTTCAATTTATGGGCATCCTTTGCTGAAGGCATCTTGTGAGACTCCACAAGGGACCATAAACAGTTGGGGTTTTTAGGAAGGACCACAAGCTCTGGTAGGCCCACAAAGGAATGAAACCAACCATTTCTCACTGGCTCAGCATGAGGATGCCTTGATGCAGACGAAGAACCAGCAGTCACATTGGTGAAATGTAAGTAGTGGCTGGAGCCTCATCTGTGCTGAGGATGCTGCCAGCACAGCTGTACCACTGACAGCAGTGGAATATTTTGCTCAAGTTCTCTAGAGGAATCAAAGCCTGTATTTTCTGTCTCTGGCTGTCTCTTGTTCTGTTGCTCCTCACTCATTAAAAGGAAATTCAGCCACACAAAGCACATGGTTTGTGTCTGTGTCGAAAAGAAAATAAATGTTTGGGGTAAAAACCCAACAGCCAAAGCTGGTTTGAAATCAGAGGCATGTAAACAGTACCTGGAACTAAGTGGAATAATCATAATGATGATAATAATGAGTCCTTTTGTGTCCTGATGAGTACTGGGAGGAACGCCGCCTTAGCTGCAGCACTGTATGGCAGCACTAGTGCCTCTGGCTCCCTTATGTAACCCAAATCACAAGTTAGAGCCCAAATTACAAAGCACAAGCATGTGTGTAATAGTAACCATATAAATGGTGCCCGAAATGACTATCCTTTTCCTGTAGGTCTGGCTTTGATCTATTAGTATTTTTACTTCTGCAATTGTATTGATTTCAATGGGCACTAGTGCCATTCATAGTGCAATCAAGCCTAACCCCTTAAAAACTCCATCATGAAGGCATTAACCCAAACCGAACTAAGGCCAAAATCACTCTGCTTACAGGTAGGCGTAGTTCAAATGACTGGTATACCAGACCTTGCATGTATCCAGCATTAAGATTCTTCCCTGTGAGGGTGCTGAGGCGCTGGCACAGGGTGCCCAGAGAAGCTGTGGCTGCCCCATCCCTGGCAGTGTTCAAGGCCAGGTTGGACACAGGGGCTTGGAGCAAGCTGCTCCAGTGGAAGGGGTCCCTGCCCATGGCAGGGGTTGGAACTGGATGAGCTTTAAGGTCCCTTCCAACCAAAACCAGTCTGGGATTTCAAGATGCTATAAAAAGCAGAATATCATCTCCCTGTGCTGCTTTGCAGCAGGTTTTTGCTGCCCAGCCCAAGGCACAGGGTAGCAATCACCTTCCTGAGCATTTTCCCTTTTTCTTAGAGACTATTTTTGCCATTACCATGCTGAGCTGCTTTCTGGAGCTGTAAGGTGCTGGGAGTCGATACAATGAGCGCCTCTTGTCTCTGTTTAATCCAATAACATCTCTCCTCTTCTTAATCCACACGTCTGGGTCACAGGGTTTAAAAAAGACACTGGGCCAAATCCCCAGCTTGGGTACAAGGTGTGGAAATCTACTGGGAAGGCACAAAAAGTCAGCAGAGATTCACTGGAAGTGCATCCTATAGAAGAGGTCTCAAGGGGCAGGGATGCGAGTGCCTCATTTCGCAGATGGATGTGTACCCATAAAGGGTATAGCAGAGTTAGATCAGATTTCTGTCACAGGAGGTGGAGGAAGGGATATACACCAGGATCTAAATTATGTTCACCAGCAAATCCTCATTCATTTTCAAATTGAAATGGATTTAATATTTCTTCATCATTTTCAGGAGAAAAACTTGTTTCTTTTCAATGCTGCTGAAGGTTGAAACCTCATGTTTATGGTGTTTTATGGACTCAAGACCAAGGAGCAGGTTTTGCAGGAATTGGGAAGATTTTACACATAAATGTTAAAATAAAAAAAGAAAAACATATCCAGGCACAAAGTGCAGCAGAAATCGAGGGGACAAGTGGACTGCACTGCCTGTGAAGAAGGGTATAAGCAAGAATAGCAAAAAGATGGTCTGAATGAGTCCATCGCATGAACGATGCTCCAAACACAGACTTCCTATACAAAGCTATATGGGAGCAACCTTCAGGGTTCCCCTATAGAGCAAAGGATCCCAGGCTTGAAAAATGGAGGCAGGTTTTGTAAGGGATTTGCACGTCATTCAGTGACCCTGGATTGCAGATTTTAAGCATTACTAAATTGGGGAATAAAATTGTTGGCTTTTGCTATTACGTACCAGGATATCTCTCTAATCCACGCAATCCACTAAGTTGTTGTGGCTTTAGTCCCTGTTTATTTTACATGAAATTATGGCCCGGGCAGTTAATTTTTCTTAGTTTATCCATTTAACTCATATAGGATATGAGTTTAACTCATATAGGAGTATATATTTAACTCATATAGGATATATGAGTTAAAGATAAGATATAACCAGAACTCCAAACATGACCTGTGGTTTTGGTACCCTCCCTATCGTGTGAACCTGCCACTTACAGAACCCCACACCAAGTTTAAAAGTCAATCACAAAGGCAACCCAAACCCACAGGTCTCCTTGAAAATAGGCCCATTGGCATTAAATTCTCTGATTTTAATGCTATGGGTGGCCTATTTTGCTTATATTTGAGACTGCCTATCCATGACAAGATCGCCTCCACCGGTCTTTGCCTTACATCAAGCTGATTAGGTATTAACTTGAGGCACAATTTGAAAGGATGGAGCAGGTCCTTTCTGAACACCAGGTGAGTTTAGAAATGCCTATTCCTTTACTGGTTCCTTAGGTGAGGAGCAAACCCAGAGGACACAAAGAGCCTGGAAGCAAAGTGGTCACACAGGCTTTTGGAAGAAGTGTCTCAAGTTGAGTGGCAATCAGCTACCTGGAAATAAAAACCCTCTCATATATCCAAAGGTTTTCAGTGGGATTTTCAGGAGCTCCTCAGCAATTTAAAGTCCTTGAAAGGAAGGCACTACAGAATGAAAACCAGAAGTATTATTAAAGGATGTCTCCAAAGTGAAAGCCATAAAATGAGCTAAGGCCCAACAACAGGTATCTGTCTCCTGTATGAACTGTATGGTTTGCATTTGTGAAGTCACTTCTAAACCAATGGGTTTTTTCTTCACTGTTGCTATTGGGAGGAACAGTAAAACATGAATAAATGAGGTTAAAGTAATCTAATTAAAAAATAAGCAACGTGCTTTCATCTTCCTTCCATATCCAGTCATTTGGGATTGAACTTACATGAAACAGATAAAAATTCAGTGAAGATTTTGAAGGACAACTGTTTCCCTTTAAGATTAATGATAAACACACTTGTGTGTTCAAGGGAGAATAGATCCACTGTTATGTAAGGGGATAAAGAAACAAAATCCTTTTTTTCCTTAAATTAAAAGAACCAGGATGCATGCGGAGTTTCATCTATCACCCCAAGTTCAGGAAACCCATCTTCTTTCACAACTGCATTCCACATGCTGGGATTGATGGCTTCCAACTTTGAAACGGAATCACAGCAACTAAAAGACAGTAAAGATTTGTTTCTTTGCTTTGACCACACTTTGCCACAATAGATTGTGCCCTGAGGAAGATTCTGCAGCACTTGCCCTGGGCAGCAATCCGAACTGGTGCTCATCTTTTTCTTTCCTGTGGCATTAGTAAACCCAGTTATTGCACTTCCCAGTTGGTTTTAATCTGCTTACCTCATACTAGATGTATGGTAACTTCTCTCTTTTAACCATTTTTTAGCCTGAACTATTACATAACAGCTCCTATCAAATCTTATCAATGCCTACCTAAATTTGCCCAAAATGGGACAAAATCAGGCAATGGGGTTCTTTAATGTTGGCATTGTCCTTTGCTGGCTCATATATATATCAGATATCATACACATATATATGTATATATGATATATATGCGTATGATGTATATATGATATACATGGATATATATAATATATATGCTCTCTATATATCTGATATATATGGTTCATATATATATCAGATTATCATATATAGTCTGCAAAAAAACTCAACTAAAACCTCATTTTCTACCATATAACCTGCATTTTCCACTTCTGCATTTCACAAAAGCACTCAAACCACAACTTCTGCAGCAGAAGTTGATACATAAAGTTCCTCTTTACCACATGAATTCAGTTTTCCAAAAGAAGGCAAACGAAGGCTATTAATAACCAAGATACAAAGCCCTGAAAAGGCGGAGCCTGAATGTACTTGCTGCAAGAAAATAAAGTCATTTTGCTGGATCTAAATCTGGAGCCATTATTTGACACAGTGCAGAACAGTTTGGGATTTGCATAGAGAGGCACTGCTGAATTAAGGTAATAATCACCAACCACGTCCTGGGCTGCACCCCCAGAGCATGAGCATCAGGTCAAGGGAGGGGATTCTCCCCGTCTTGTGCTCTGCGGAGACCCCCCTGCAGTCCTGGTCCAGCTCTGGGACAACAGCACCAGAGGGATGTGGAGCTGCTGGAGCAAGTCCAGAGGAGGCCATGGAGATGCTGTGAGGGCTGGAGCAGCTCTGCTCTGGAGCCAGGCTGAGAGAGCTGGGCTGGGTCAGCCTGGAGAAGAGAAGGCTCCTGAAGGGGAGACCTGAGAGCAGCTCCAGTGCCTGAAGGGGCTGCAGGAAACCTGGAGAGGGGCTTTGGACAAGGGCCTGTAGGGACAGGCCAAGGGGAATGGCTTTAACCTGCCAGAGGGGAGACTGAGATGAGCTCTTAGGCAGAAGCTCTTCCCTGTGAGGGTGCTGAGGCGCTGGCACAGGGTGCCCAGAGAAGCTGTGGCTGCCCCATCCCTGGCAGTGTTCAAGGGCAGGTTGGACACAGGGGCTTGGAGCAAGCTGCTCTAGTGGAAGGGGTCCCTGCCCATGGCAGGGGCTGGAGCTGGATGAGCTTTAAGGTCCCTTCCAACCCAAACCACTCTATGATACTTCTGCATGAAAGCAGCACGTATGTGTTTGGCTGAGCTACTTGGAGCTTTGTCTGCAGAGCAGAGTAAACCCTGCTTGCACATGTTCACACCTGACATTTCAGTCCTGAAAAGTAAAGCTTCACATCTGAGCAGTTTAAGTGGCGATCCCTCTGTGGAGTAAGCCCTCTGTTAGCACTACTCCAGGTGATACCAGGCATGACAGTGGAAAACAGTCCAGAAACGTATGGTGCTGAGCTCACTGATGCCATGGAGAACCTCTCAGCTTATGTGAGTGATCCAGACAAACCAATGGGTTAAAGTCATCGAAGAGCAGTGAATTCATATAGACTCACATTTCTTTTTATTTGCTTATGGGTCCCTCTATACCCTTCCCTCTCAAAGTGATGATGAAACTCTTATGACTAGTGTATAAGAATGATTTTAAAGTACCTACTTTATCCTGACAAATTCCATTGGCAGCTGTAGGCAACCACTAAGACAAAATACTGTAACAAACAAACCCATTCCCAAATGCCTGCTTTTACTGGTTCAGGTG